CTAAATTATAAAATCATCACTCAATGATGTCGCTGACATAGTCATTATCACATTGAAAACCTTGTAAACAGTACTAGTCGCTAATGTGTTTGAAGTAAATATCCATTTCCTAATTGTGGAAGTCCTTTGTAAAACCAATGTTACACTAAAGGTTCTCTTTCCATGATTTGATACAAACGGTTTTAATTATCTAATTGTATGGCGGCTGCGTAGGTGGATTTTTCAAAAACAAACTTTTAAAGTGATTTTCATTTCTTCATATTGCTTCTAAGGTGCGATCATAATGACCTGTTAAGATATCATGTTTTCGCGCGAAAAGCTCAGCTGGAATTTTATATAACAAATACTTAGGGCCTGTTTATATGGAGGTGGGGGACCCCAGGTACGTCAGGTAACTTGCTTAGGTGGGGTAAAAAATTAACCCTCCTTTACATGCAATCTTACAACCACGTCATCCCGGGGTACACTTTCTCAAGGTTATTGGATGGTTGCTAAGCACGTAAACAAGAAATATGATGGAAAACCACGTTTTTTGGCGATTAATACTCTTCTACACTCCCTTGTTGCTCTTGCTGCAACCTTCAGTGCTGTGGCTTTCTATTGTTACCTTTAATAATGATGCAAAGTCACCGCCAAAGTGAATTTTGCGCGAATTTGATGTATCACGAATCGGACCCCTGCTAGGCGGGTTACCCCACCTTGAACGTTTACATGGCAAAATTTGACTCCGGCTGAGAGGGTTACAAACCGGGCTATTCGCCTTGGCGGGTCACCCCACATATCAGGTAAACGTCAACAAATTAAAATGAGAGATTATATGGACAGGCGGGTTACCCCACCTAAGCTGGTTACCTCACCTACCTGGGGTCCCTCACCTTCATGTAAACAGGCCCTTATAGTGTAATTAAGCCGTCTCTCCTAAGGGAGAGGGCTAAAATCTGGTACTGGCTAGTACGCTCTCACTTTGGGGTCTCTAGAAACGACAAAACAAAAACAGAAACAAAAACTTTACACTTGCAGCACTTTTTTTGGTGGTTGATTCGATTCTTTGCCGTCCCCGCACAACTATGACGTGAAAAGACCAAATTTTATAAAGTATACTTGAGAATGAGAACAGCAAGGCGATAAATTTTACTGTCTCGGTCTGAACTTGATCGCGATCCTACTTGAACTCGTTTACGTACATACATACATACTTTATTGACTTTCCTCATGAAGGCTTTTCAAGGACAATAATTCAATTAGTTACATACGACTAAAAATATAAAAATTTATTACAATAAACACCTACTTCAAGGAACCTCAAAATATTTACAATAATATTTATCAGACGTATAATTTATAAATTAATTTTAAAAAACTTTTACTTAAAAACTGTAATAGAAAATAATATTCACACCAAACTTTAAATGACATGATAAAAACTTAAGAATTGACCACTTTACGTTTCAGATTGAACTTAAAAGCAGACACTGACTCAAAAGTTTTAAGAAAGTTATCCATGGAGTTCCAGATACTGACTATTCTATAATAAAACGTCCTCTGACCACTGGCAGACTTGAAAAATGGAATGTTCGTGGCACGCCCGCCTATTTCTCCTCGCTTAATGAACCGGAAGAAAGGTACTCCGGCACGCGGGAAGTAAGGCATTTAAAGGCCATGATAGCGTTCCTAAACTAGACAAAAAATATTGCTAGATTTAAACTTAAATTTTCTCTTCAAATAGGTACTACAATTGATAAAGGAACTGAAACAAAAGCAAATGAGAGAGGAGGATACAGCTGTGACAGCAAAATAAAGTCAAGAGAGAAATTGGCATGCGCAGTAAACTCTTGGGGCCAAACGTCGAGGTGTCCTTGTGTTAACAGCGGACAAAAATGTTCATTGGATCGATGTAAGTGTAGAAACTGTGGAAACATAACAAGCAACAAATCAAAACAACTTAAGACGCAGTGTAGATGTGGAGAACGCGAAAAACTGAAAAGTTCCAAAGTTGAATCGTGCAAGGTAGGAATAGAACAAAGTGTCCTTGTTTTGTGAACGGCCTCGGCTGTAAAATTTGTCACTGCTACAACTGCAAAAACATCTATGGAGAAAAAGAGTCCAGCTTAGAAAAAAATAAAGACTTGCCCACGGGAAAACGGAAATCAGGTCTATCCAGTCCACCATCTCTAAAACGGCAAAGGGGCTCGCAATTTTTGAAGGAAAATGGAATAACAAACCATACAGACCATAGTGGAGGATGGAGTGAACTTGAGGGCTGTATCTTAGATATGACTGAATCATTTCTATACTCAACCTGCATTTTACCATCTAAAGAAAATATTTGTACCCTATATAACTATGTAATTCAAAGCAGCGCTGGGAGGAATTCGGACGTCAATTTAAACACGAAGTCCCTCGCACAAGTTATTGGAAAGCTTGATTACAAAAAAAGACGACGAAGTCGTCTATCAGAAAGCCAACTTAATGACTGAGACTCACCTGTAGCCTAGATATGTACCATGACAAGAAGATGAACTACCGTACTAAACTGAATTTCATCAAGACGCTTAAAATGATGGTAACATATTAACTCTGTAATAATAAACTGCCATTAATTTCAATTGTTAGTATAATTGCAAGCATGTTAAAAAATGCGAAAAACAAAATAGATGCCTCAGTATTTCAAAAAACGATACTGAATCTTTATAACTCGGTAAAGCCTCGGTACAGCCAGAGAAAACAGCCAACATCTCGCGATGCCGCCACTTCATCGAGCTGCAGTGCACTGCTGACGGACATTTACGATGCAGAAAAAAAAAGCATCAAAAATGGTGCCACAAAGACACTTGCCACAGTGATGCAAGTGCAAACTTTCACCGCCAGAAAGTACGCAGTATAACTTAAGTATAACTAATCAAATCTTGACATGATCACACTTTACAAACCAAGAAATAAAGATCACTTCATATTCAGAAGGAGGTGGTAATCTCAAAAATTGCTGCTACGACCGCAAAAAATAAATAAATAAAAGGTTAGTAAAGATCCATCTACGCAGCCGTAATACAATTAGATAATTAAAAACGGTTTGCATTCAAATATAGAAAGAGAACCTTTAGTGTAACATTGGCTTTACAAAGGACTACTACAACTAGGAAAAGGATATTTACTTCAAACACATTAAAGACTATTGCAGTTTACAAGGTTTTCAATGTGATAATGACTATGTCAGCGACATCATTAAGTGATGTTTTTATAAATTAGTAGAAATAGAATTAAAGGCAAAGAGTTATGACATTGAGACTGAAATACATGTCACTTTAAATGGAATATATGAGCCAACCTGTCATTCTGTGTAAAGGCATATCAATTTTAAGATAAACTTTCACAAATAAAGTCTACTTAAAGTGATTGCTTTGTGTGAACATTGGTTTAATGCCACATTGGCGGAACCTACAGGAGAGGAATTGAGGACGCCGAGAGTCCTGATGTTTCCCGAGACGAGGTCAACAGGGGAAACATCATTACTTGACGAAAAATATAATTAACTGTTTTCCGAGGGGGACCTAAAATTAAGTGTTCTGTTATATTACTAGACTTTCACTTCAACAGCGTCAATAGAAATAGTCGAGGAAAATGAAAACAGTCGATTCGAATCAGTAATTACCGGCAACTACCAGTAACTACCAGCAACTACTAGTAACTACCAGCAACTACTAGTAACTACCAGTAACTACTAGTAAATACCAATAACTACCACCAACTACTAATAACTACCGACAACTACTAGTAACTACCAGTAACTACCAGCAACTACTAATAACTACCAGTAACTACTAGTAAGTACCAATAACTACCACAAACTACTAGTAACTACCGACAACTACTAGTAACTACCAGTAACTACTAGTAACTACTGATAACTACAAGCAACTACCGACAGCTACTAAAAACTACCAGTAACTACTAGTAAGTACCAAGAACTACCATTAACCACTAGTAACTACTAGTAACTACCAGTAAATACTAGCAACTACTAGTAATTACCGACAACTACTAGTAACTACCACCAACTACTAGTAACTACAGAAAACTACTAGTAACTACTAGTAAATACTAGTAACTACTAGTAACTACCGACAACTACCAGTAACTACCAGCAACTACTAGTAACTACCAGCAACTACTAGTAACTACCAGTAACTACTAGTAACTACCGATAACGACAACGAACTTCTAGTAACTATCGACAACTACTAGTACCTACCAGTAAATACTAGTAACTGCTCGTAATTACCGACAACTACTATAGTAACTTCCAGTATCTACTAGTAACCACCCACAACTACCAGTAGCTACCAGCAACTACTAGTAACTACCAGCAACTACTAGTAACTACTAGTAACTACCAATAACCACCACCAACTACTAGTAACCACTCGTAACTACCGACAACTACTAGTAACTACCAGTAACTACTAATAACTACCACTAACTACTAGTAAAACTACTAGTAATTACCCATTACCATTACCCTTGGCATGTGCGTGGAGAGTGCAGACGTGTGGAGCTGTGCTCCCGAAAATTCATTCTAAATTTTAATCAAACAAATTTAGAATCTTAAGTCAAATCAGTAAGATTCCTGCTGAATAAGCCGAGAAAATGAGTAAACCGTCGCGTAATAACAGAAGCAAAAAAACTGATCAAGTTCACGAAGAGTCCCTTTCTATCAAAGATGGCGTCGACGAATTAGAACAAGAAGGTGATGGCGACTATGTAACAAAGGCGTATGTATATGAGATGATGAAAATGCAAGAATCGTTGTTTCGCAATTTAATGATTCATTGTTGACAGATGTTAACAGCAGAATCGATGGCGTTATTAAAGATCTGGCTGAGCTAAAATCTAGCCTACAGTTCACCCAGAAAGACGTTGAAGACCTAAAACCAGTAACCGAGCAGATTACTAAGATTGGAAAAGAGCTGGGAGAAGTCCAGGTAGATTTTCATTGTGACAAGATGGAAGAGAACCAGAGCCGTCGCAACAATATTAGAATTGATGGAATCCCTGAGGAACCCGATGAAACTTGGGAAGACACTGAAAGTAAAGCTAAAGTGGCGTTAGAATCCAAACTCAATCTTCCTTTCAAGGTGGAAATCGAGCGAGCTCATCGTACTGGTAAAGTTAATCGGCACTCTGACGACAACGCTTCATCTACGCGTCCTCGTACAGTTATTTGTCGCCTGGTAAGCTGGAAGCAAAAGGATCCAATATTAAAGGCCGCGAGGATTGTAAAGCCAGACGGAATGTTTGTCAATGAAGATCTTGCGGTTGAAACTCTTCAAAGGCGTAAAGATCAACTGCCGAAACTAAAACAAGCAAAGCAAGCCGGAAAGATTGCCGGATCTTGTTTACTGTGGGTAATGTCGACCGAGATATCGGTCGATATAGCGGTCGATATAGCGGTCGACACTCGGTCGATAGTCGGTCGACACTCGGTCGACAGTCGGTCGATATAGCGGTCGATAGTCGGTCGATAGTGGGTCGACACTCGGTCGAGACACGGCCGATAGTCGTTCCAGATGTGTCTCGGCCGATATAGCTTTTCGTTCACCGACACTTCGCCGACTTTTCGCCGACATTTCGCCGACACTTCGCCGATACTTGGTCGATAGTTGGTCGATACTTGACCGATGTGTCGGTCAGTAATTGGTCGACACTCGGTCGATGGTCGGTCGGCATTTCCTACATTTTCCTACATTTTTGCGGGACCACAGGAGCAGCAGATTTAACTTAGGCTGAGACAGGTTCTGTTTAACAGCTAAAACTCAGACGATCGGTGATGATATAAACTGGAAAAAAAGGTTATCATGTCCTTAGTTCCCAGTGCTCTTCGGTTCTCTTCATCGCGCAATCGCGCCTTGCACTGCCACATGTCCCTCATCGCATGATAACAGTAATTAATGACGTCTTTGCTTAAAAAAAAAGCCATTGGACTCACCTGATAAATTAACACACGACTAATATTCGAACGACAGTTGACCGATATACCAACGACAGTTCACCGATATACCACCGACAGTTGACTGATATATCACCGACAGTTGACCGATATATCACCGACAGTTGACCGATACATCACCGACATATGACCGATAGTAAGTCGAGGTGCGTCGACGAAATATCGACCGATACTCGGTCGATAGTCTATCTCACTATCGACCGACTATCGACCGACTATCGACCGACTGTCGACCGCTATATCGATTGACTGTCGACCGCTATATCGACCGCTATGTCGACCGATATCTCAGTCGACATTACCCACAGTAAACAAGATCCAGATTGCCTACTTTGTGTTGGATAAATTGATAATCAAAGACAGACCCTCGATCTAGTTTAACTCAGATAAGTTGACTCCTTATTTAATTAATTCTTTGCTAATATGAGCGAATTTCCTTTTAATCATCTTGACGATGTGTTTCTTAATCTTGCCCTTTATGAGTTAGCTCACGGCCCAGTGCGTTTTAATAATAATCGATTAGAATACCTACACTTTAACCCGATGAGTAATTGCAATACTGTAATATACAGTGACATTGATCCAGATAGTAATTTTCTAAATCTTACTTCTAAATGTAGTTATACTATAACGAACCAGAACTAAATGACCTAATTGGTAATAAGAAGGATGCTATCAACTTTTCGCTTTTGCATTTAAATGCTCGTAGCTTACTTAAAAATTTTGACAAATTTACCCAACTCTTAGATTCTTCGCAGCATGAGTTTTCAGCTATAGGTATCTCAGGAACGTGGCTAAATGATATTAACGATTATTAAGATTATGTAAACATTACTGGCTATCGATTCATCTCATCGAATAGAGTGGGCAGGATTGGTGGAGACGCAGGCCTTTATTTACCCGACACTTTCAACTTTAACATTATGTGTTGAAATCGAAAATCCGCATGGAAAAAAACTTTATTATCGGTACAGTTTATCGTCCTCCTTCGGCTAATTTGCATGAATTCCTGGAATCTTTTCACCAATTGCTTCATCGGGTAACCAGGGACAGTAAAATGTGTTACATAATGGGTGATTTCAATTTAGACCTTCTTAACACTGATTTGCATTCAGCTACGAACGAGTTTATTAATGCCTTATTTTCTCATTTTCTTCACCGCTAATTTCGAGACCAACTCGACTTACTTCGTACAGCGCCACCCTGATTGATAACATTTTTACTAACAATATTTCTGCTGTTTCTGCCTTGTGTGACAATGGACTCATTATTAATGATCTGTCCGACCATTTACCAATCTTCACACTCTGTTACACTGATGCTCATTCTTCAACAATTAAGCCTAAGGAAAGTGTTGCCATTCGCAACTTCTCTAGTCAGAATATTAATGCATTTAACCACCTTTTGTGAATTCGATTGGAATTCTCTAATTTATGCTGATGCTAACGCCGCTTACAATGGGTTCCTACAAAAATATACTGAAGTTTATAACAAGAGTTTTCCGATAAAGTTTTGTCAAGGGAAAAACCTAAAAGCTCTGCATAATCCGTGGCTTACAACTGGAATCTTGAAATCAATTAAAACAAAGTCTAGGCTGTATAAATTGTTCTTAAGGAAACCAAGTCATGAGCGTGAATCCAGCTATAAGTCATTTAGAAATAAGCTAACTTGTCTTGTTCGTATCGCCAGCAAAAATTATTATGACAACAAATTGGATAAGGCTAGATCAAACTTAAAGCAAACATGGAAAATTGTTAATGAAGTGATCAGCAGGCGTGTCGCTAAATCACCGTATCCTGCAAGCTTCACCAAAAATGAAATGGAAATTAGCAATCCTACTGACATAAATTCTGTGATTACTTCACCAATATAGGGCCAAATTTGGCGAGCAAAATTCCTTCCACAAATTCGTCACCCGAGGCTTTCTTAAGCAGCGCTCTTTCTGAATCCATTTCATTGCAACCACTAACGGTCGGTGAATTAAACAAAATTGTTAAATCGTTCAACGCTAACAAAGCTCCTGGACATGATAATATATCCATGAAGATAATTCATCAGTCTTTCCAAAATATTGCGCAGCCTCTTGTAACCATTATAAACATTTCGTTGTCTACTGGTGTGTTTCCTGAATCTCTCAAAATAGCCAAAGTGATTCCAGTTTTTAAGGCAGATGACCCAACACTTTTTAGTAATTACAGGCCAATATCAATTCTTCCAGCCTTTTCTAAACTCTTTGCAAAAGTCATGTACAACCGTCTGATTAATTTCTTAAATTTGCATAATATTTTATACTCGAAACAATTTGGATTCCGTAATAATCATTCGACTGCATTAGCGTTAATTGACTTGATCAACAACACATCTTCAGCTATCGACAGGAATGAAACAACTTTAGGCATCTTCTTAGATCTTTCTAAGGCGTTTGATACTATTAATCATGAAATATTGTGTCAAAAACTGCAACACTATGGTATTCGGGATACTGCTTTGGCGTGGATCAAAAGCTATCTTGACGATCGGACCCAATTTGTCCAGTTTGGGTCCCATCGATCTTATCCGAGGAAGATTTTATGTGGCGTCGCGCAGGGCTCAATTCTTGTACCTCTTTTGTTTATTATTTACATTAATGATCTTCCTAATGTCTCTAGTCTCACTCAATCTTTACTGTTTGCTGATGGCACAAGTATCTTTTGTTCCCATGAAGATGCCAACCACTTCGTTTCCATTGTTAACAATGAACTTGCAAAAATAATTACTTGGCTTAAAGTGAATAAGTTATCTCTAAATCTGACTAAAACAAATTTTATGATTTTTCATCCCAGGCAAAAGAAAGTCAATGTTAATGTCCCTCTTACTCTGGAAAATACCATGATCAAGCAAGTCATGGAGACAAAATTTTTAGGTGTTCTCATTGATCAGCATCTCTCTTGGAAACCACATATTGATTTCGTCTCAAAAAAAATTTCGAAAAGTGTGGGAATTATTGCGAAAGCTCGCTTTTACCTATCATCCCAAACTTTGATGACCTTGTATTACTCCCTTGTATATCCTTTCTTAACATACTGTAATGTCGCCTGGTCCTCCACCTACTGTTCCAACCTAAACTGTATTTACCTTTTGCAAAAGCGTCTAGTGCGACTCATAACAAAAGCTCACTATCTAGAAAATACCGTCCCTTTATTTAGCCAGCTTAAAGTTCTTGACCTATTTAGTATTAATTCATTTTCTGTCGCTACCTTTATGTATTCTTATCGCCATAATCTTTTGCCTAATAGCTTTCATGACTTGTTCTTAAGTAGCAATTAAGTCCATCAATACGAAACTCGACTAGCCTCTCACTATAGACCTCATTTTTGTAGAACAAATATAAAGCAATTCAGTATCCTTTACCGAGGACCTAAAATCTGGAATTCGTTGCCTGTTTCACTAATTAGCTCTCCTTCTATATCTGTTTTTGAAAAACAAAAAAAAAAAGAATTATCTCACTGATAGCCGATCTGTCGTTTAATTTTCTGATCTTGCTCACTCTGCACTGAGCCATGAACTTAGTTCACTAGGTAGTTGAAGGAAGCCTATTAATATGAGCTTCAAGCTTTAGTACCTACCGATAACTACTAGGAACTACTAGTAGCTACCAGCAACTACTAGTAACTACCGGCAACTACTAATAACAACCACTAACTACTAGTAAATACCAAGAACTACTAATATATAGATTTAGCCACGGCTAAAAGCGAGGCTCCCATTGAAAAGTTAAGTGATTTTGGAGTGAAACAAATCTTGTATCGAGTTGATATAGCCTTATATGTACACCCAAAAAGGTGTACGGTCAAATTTAAGAGCAATAATGGCTCTTGATCACAGTAGATAAGGCGTGGAAAACAAATCAGGCCGAATTTTTTACAAATTCTTGCCAATAAATCTGGGTGCGTGCAAACCAATCTTTTATTTTTTTTTAATACACCACATCTGAGGAGAAAGAGTACTACGAGGCGCTGTTTTTATCATACAGACCTCGTACAAATTCAGTATTTCACAATTTTTCAAGACAAAGTGCATTCATTCAATTATATTCAGGACCATCGAAGCAATCGAAGCACGTGTGGACTTTTAATTAGCGAAACCGTTCAAAAAATTTCCAAAATCACCTATACGGCCAGCCGGTTCTAACTTTTGACAAGCGCCAAATTTGCGAAGAAATTTTAAAAGAGTTACGTTTCAACGTGATAAAGAATTTATTTAGTCTATTTTTTATTCATGGTTTTATAACGATGTGTAACCTTAAAAAGCGTTTGATACGCTCGGCATTTTGAGTACTCCAGCAAGCGATCTTTATGAACGGCTGAAAACAAACGGCAAAGCGATCAAAATTACACTTTTGAGACTACCAACAATCAATAACGAAATATAATTCGGTAGAACATTTACAGAGACAACAATTTTCATTCACGAAAACAAATGAGTAGTTAAGTGTCTCTAAGAATCCTGAAGTCTTTACTAGTAAGCTTAAAGATTAGGTTTATGTTTTAAGCCGCCGGTTTCCCGGGCCTGTTTGCTGTTTTCAAAGATGAACTCAGGACAAGAAAATCGCTCAAAGCTTTCTTTCTGCAGCCAAAATTATAACTAAATATTCTTCGGAAAGTCTTTTCTTTCCATTTACGGTGAATTGATATCGACTAAAGGCTTTTTAAAGTTCTGTAAGCTTAAGCTTATACCAAACCTCATACTAGGTCAGACCAGTACCTCGGTCAAATCTTAATACAAACGTGTATAAACTAGCTTCATAAACTGCGCCGCTGGACTTCATGAAATTAGATATAAATACAATAATTACTCAGGCTTACCATATTTCGAGATGCAGCTCCTGAAAGCTATCAAGTAAGGCAAGGATCGCTTGAGCCTTTATAATTCTCGCACGCATCCAGCAAGGTGAAAAACAAAAACGATGCCATCCGAAATCGGATTACGGGCTTTGACAAGCGACGCATTTCTCAACCAAAAACCCAATAAACAAACCAGCCATGAATAAGAGAACACTCCTGATAGCAGCTGTATTTCATTTTGTACATCCAGTGGAAAAAGACAGTTAAAAACATCACAAGTTGACTCAAAACCGTGTCAGCTTCAGCTGTCAAAGAAAACAACTTTCAAGATGCTGCATAAATTTTACGCATGAACTCACCTGTCAAATTTTAACCAAACAGAGCATAAAAATTGGACGTGGAGCGTGACCAACACGTGACCATGGTAAGAAAAGGCCTTCCCCGCCTGTATTTTAAAAAAACTGGCTGAATTTTTGCGTCTGAGGTCAGTTTCAAATCAAAATCGTAATAGTGCGGGGCGATACTGACATAAACACAACATGTTTGACATGAA